CCAGAGAATAAAGCTACTACTACTACTACTGACTTCTGGTTATATTATATTTAATTTATAAAGTAATTATTAATTTTTCAGAATAATATATCTATATTACATAATTTATTTTTATTTATTTATTATTTATTTTTAATTATTTTATTATATGTTTTTATATAAAATGAACAATGGCGCGCGCGAAGCGCGCGCTTTGTATTGTTCTAGTCCCTTACAAAAAGTACATTATAAATATGGTTTTTCTTAAATAATTATTATTCGGTAAATAATGTTACTATTTGTATTTTTAATTTCTTGAAAAGTGAAATCATAAGAAAACATGATAATTAATGCGGAATTTTAACGGTTTTCTTTAAAAATATTATTTTATATTCACTTTAACATTATTTTAGTATTTTTCACTTAATACTAAAATTATAGTTATAAAAATTAATTAATATTTTTAAGGAAAGACAACAAGATACCGCATTAATTATTATGATTTCCATGTAAAATTTAATTTCAAGAAATTAAAAAATGTTACTAAATAGTTATATCGTCATTTATCATATAATGTTAAATTTATACACTCGGAAAAACCCTATAATTGTAGTGTATTTTTCGTAAGGGTGGCCATATATCCGCTAGGATCAGATCAGGGGGTCGATTATGAATTTTTTTACACACGTGAAAAGTGACAAATTTCTCCATTGCCTTCTTCTTCTATGTCCTTCGCTAGAAAAAGTGGGCAATGGAGAAATTTTTCACTCTTTACGTGTGAAAAAATTCATAATCGACCTCCAGACTACTCATGTCTGATTTGATCCGAGCAAATACAGATTATTCTTGTCATATCTGACCTCGTCCGCCAGGATCAGATTAGATCTACTCATGTCTGAGTGGATCTGATCAGATATAGATTATTCCTATCCTATCTGACCTCGTCCGCTAGGATCAGATTAGATCTACTCATGTCTGATTAAATCTGATCAGATATAAATTATTCTTATCCTATCTGACTCTGTCCGCTAGGACCGGATCAGATCTACTCATGTCTGATTAAATCTGATCAGATAGGGCCAAAATTTTGATCAAATCAGATCTGAGCGAATTGGATCTGATTTGATCTGATCAGGTCTGTTCAGATCTTTTCCATTTTTTCCCGGGAATCCAGCCTAACTAACCTAACTAACCTATTCACCCTGGATCCCGCCAAAACTTTGCGCCCACTCTGCACATGTCGTGTTACGATCCTAGAGTTACTGCTGGCCGCAGTGCGCATGCGCAAGAAAGCGTCCCTGATAGCAACACTGAGACAAACACGCACTGCGACGCGTAGGACATCCACCGATCGCGTGGACGGCAACGGCTCGGAAAGAGACGCGCGCTACGATGCCGTGCAATACGAGTATGTCCGCCGATCGCACGGATGGACTTGTCTCTCTTGCCTCGTCTCTGAGGCCCTACTGCGTGCACTCGCAGAAATACGCATGTACGGACGACACAAAATAATTTGTATAATTTTCTATCGGATACTTTTTAATCGGAAATAACATATCCGTTCAGGCACTAAACTTTATCGGATAAAATAATCGGTTTTTATCCGATAAAGAGAAATATCCGATTAGATTGCCATAAGATTTAAACGGAAAAAGAATAACTTCTCATTATCCGATAACATTTGATCGGAAATAATATTTCATCGGATAAAGGTAGCCATCATGTTCTATCGGATACCTTCAAATCCGATAGAAATGCATCGGATAAAGCACTTGAACGGTTTTTTCCGTTTAAAACTGCCGGTTATTTTTCTCAGTGCTGGCTTCAACAACAGATGTCGATGTAACATTCGTCTTGCGTTGCAAAATGCCATACAGGTTAATCGATAAGTTTCCTCGTGTAGAGGTTATATTCGAAGACGGAGTACTTATGTACAGTTACGCGTGAGGATTATACCAGATATGAATTCAGTTTTTGGTTATTCATGCCTCTTGTAATGTGTCTCCAATCTGGATGCGAAACAGAATGAATAAGCTGCTACACATATAAATATCTGTCATATTGGACTTCTTAATAATGAAGAATATTAATTACAACACACGTTACAATATGTTAATCGATACACACATTCAATACTTTTTAAAAATCGAGAAAATATTTTAATTTACGCGTATTAATAAATTGTATCCTTTTTTTAGACATCTGAATCCTTACTTTCTTAAGTTTAGTTGTTCGTACACTAGGCATCATTCCTGTCTTCCCATATAAATTTAGGCACATAAAACATACGTATATTTCAAGCAGATTTACTTGTGTTTTTCTGATTACATCAACTAGAATTACATTAAGTAAAAACATATAATGTTTTTTGTGGTATTTTGAGGAATTGTTCAAATGGTGGAACGAAACACTTCAACCGAGAATAAGATGAATGGAACAATAAAAGTATATTTAATAATAATTGCATTAGATTTGACGAGCGTTAGAAAATGTTTAGTGATTACGCATATTATCGAAAAAATACATGAATACATTTTTGGTTTTTTTGAATAATCGTTGCCATGTTAGAGAGCTGGGTTATTTATTTGAACGTCTGAGGCTTTTCCCATTTTTTCCTGCAAATCATCAAAAAGGAAAAAAAGGAAAAGGAGTTTCAGGCACGTTTCTTTCCTATCGTTCATTGCATACGTATATAATGATATATAATTTGTGTGCTACCTTATATGAACTAAATGACGTGGATTGACTCATCATTACCTAACTCTTGGTACCCCCCTACCGCATCAAACGTGACTACAACAAGAAAACTATAAACATGTTTCGAAGCGTTCCGAGAGAGAACTGGTTAGCCTTCTAACGATACGGTAAACTTGTAGCAACGTCGATCCGAATTTGTATTCCGAATAGTGAATACGTGGAATCAGTCACCGTATTATTAATTTTCACAACGATACATTACGAAAAATACTTTAAAATATTTTGCAAAAGTGTTTAAACAAAGTGTACTAGAACAAAATAAGTGCAAAAACATAACCAATAAGTAAAATATCATAAACAAGATATTAAAGTATTATATAACACGAAACGCTGGAGATACATTAAAACTATTAAGAAGAAAATGCAAAGTGATATTTTAAGAAACAAAAGGTAAATAATAATTTTGTTATTGTTATGATAGTATAAGGATGTAAGTGAACATAACAAATTGAAACAGATAGTTGTACGTGTAAATAAAACGACGACCGTTCTCGTCAAAACCGGTTTTCCTATTGTGGAATAATCAAAGTGCGAAATGTATATGTGCTCCCAGACTGTAAAAAACCGATTCATGGGCAGATGTCTATTATCTATTCAGAATAGGGCTATTGTTAAAAGTGATCGACTGAAGAAATTAGCGAAAGTGATATAAAAACATTTCTCTGTAACACATGCTTAAACAATTTTTTTCAGATTTGCTGGTTAATCACGGGTAAATATTTTAATGCATATTTGCGATTGGGTTCATATGCAATATCTCGCATTATTATTATATCCTAAACTATGTTTATTAATATGAAATATTGTCTGTTTCGTTTGAATCTCAATAAGGATCTTAGTAATAATATTCCAGGTGACTTAGTATAAAAAGTTTATTTCTATTATAGTTGTATGTTTGGAGAGGTTTTTAAACGTGTATTGTTTTTAAAAGTTCTTTTAAAGATTGGATTTCATTAAGCTGATCAACCCTTTGAGTGCAGATTATCCTAAACTATTGTAATTCTCGCTAATGTTCATTCCAACGGGAAAGTGAATGATGTTACAAAAACGAAATTATTTAATCTAATCTACTTGTGACGTATTAAACAGGTCACAGTTCATAGTTGAAGCGTTTCATCCTCCTTTGAAGAGTTTTCAGCAAATAAATAATACAGTATTCAATAATAAGTGCGTTTAGTATTATAAGTTTTTAATTCAATTTTGTCCTATTTATCGAGAAAATAATTTTGCACTAAACATATGTATCGTTAATATAAATTGTTTATAATATTCTCAACTATCTTATCAAATTTATGTTGTTGACTAACAATAAGAGAATAGATGTGCATATCTGGATCCAAGGTACTGGGACTAGAGTGTCCGTATCAATAGCGTACAAGATTTAATAATTTATTTATTGTTACGGCGTTTCAAGAATTGCGAACACAACAGAATGTAGAATACTTCGTTTAACATTTTATGTAAACAAATATCGCCTTAACAAGAAATCGTCGTCCTCTCCACCATATGCATCTGTCAAAACTCCGCAAGACACATTATAATAGTATATCATATATCGAGATCTCTAATCTAGTGTATTTTATTATACCAAAATTAATACTTGAACATATTTAAATACTAATTATGAATCTATCACATTACCACATTGTCACGGCAGATTTATAGTTTAAAATAATTTTTTTAAACAAACATATTAGTTCTTTGTTATTTATTATATAACGATTAATATGTTTCTTTTGTTGATGGTAAAAGTCGATAAATCTAATGTTGATAACACTGTGATTATGGAAATTATTTTGAAATCGTGTGAGATAGTAAAAAAATTCAGAACTAATTAAAAAGTTTGTTAAATAAAGATTGATAGACAGTATGAATTTTTATTATTTATAGAATTTCACAAGATGGCTAAGATTGGTATCTTATTTGCGTTTCTGTCGCACCTATTATGTACCATGGTACATGGAACAACTTTATGTTCGGAATACTTCACACTTGCAATCAACCCTGAGACAGGCAAGATATATGGTCGGATCGAAATCATTTCTCCGCCAGAAAATGACGACCTTTATTTAAAAGTAGCCTTAAACGCTGCCGCTGATTCTCTGGTAAGTATATGTTTTAAACTTTCAATATTATTAAGAATGCAGAAGGCGTTTGTATAACTTCGTTGCCATTACTACAGGCAATTTTTAATACGTTTAGCACCCAGAAATAAAGTCTTTTTCAAAACAAAGTTCTTCTACTGAGGACCGTACAGTTACTTCATTGTAAATCGTGTATCGCGTAGTACCGCCAAATTCGAGGTACACGTTAAAATATAAAGTATATATAATTATGAGCCCACCAAAATAGGAGTGACGAGATATTTTTCGCGGTACATTAGCACGAGGTACATGATTATACGAGGTAATAATGAATATATGACGATCAGTTGGAGGTACCGTCTCGAGGTTACTGCTCGAGGTATTTATAAATTCGCGGTACATTTTTTAGGAGGTACAAATGGTTCCCGTACGTACGGGAACCATTTGTACCTCCTAAGTAATTTCCCTCCTGAAGTAATACAAGGTACAATGTACCTCCAACCTAATCTGTCTCCATAGCAACGAGATATAGCTTTTGTTATTATTTTTCTTCATCGTGCCATACTTACGTAATCGCGTCGCTAAAGGCACGAAGTGCATAGTAAGTACATACATTATGGACGCATTTTGTAGTGTTGATATTCGAGGCATTTTTCGTGGCCAGTGCCACGAATTAAATTGCGAATGTACAGAGTACATTCGCAAATTAAATAATGTGGATCCTTCCATTTTATGTTTATATTGTGGGCATCCACCAGCAAAACATGTTTCCGTGATCGGCATTAATGTACTTCCAATTTACGTGTATCGCGTAAATAATGTACCTCCTCAAAATATAACTCCTAATTTCGAAGTACTATCTTCCCTCCTATTTTGGTGGACCTATATGTACCTCATATTTACGTATACTTTTTATTTTGACGTGTACCTCCAATTTTTGGCGGTACACGTTTAAGAGTGTTTAATTAGTATTGTAAAGAAATTAAAGTACTTTGAGCCTTAAAAGGAGTATGAAAACAATATACAAGTACATGTACATAAGAAACTGTTTACACAAAATAATTTCTGTTCTGCATATTTTGAAATATGTGTGTTAAATAATCTTTTAATATATCTATATATTATTAAAGCTAAGTGAAAAATATAGTTTACCTGTGGTTTGACACCGATAATCGAGGATTAATGTACAAGTTTTATTTGTAATTTTTGTCTGGTTTGTCATTTCTTAATTTTATTTCCTAATAGATAGAAATAAATAGATTACCTGTCGAAGGATTTACGTGTTACCACATCGCGGATGTTAGTTAAGGAGGCGAAATATTCAACATATATTTTATTATTAAAGATTGTTATAACGTTAATTTATTTTCACATATAATTTAAACTGGAAAGTAATTTTACGCCTTGTAATTGCATTATACTCTCAAAGCTTACCTTTAACTGTACTGGTTAATTTCATTGTTAAGAGAACTTATCGTTAGTCATTTGTCCATTTATTAGAAGTAGCTTAGTTATCTTTGCGTTCTAGGATGAGTTATTTCAATTGGAATTGGCACGACCGATAAAAGATACCATTCAAGCTGTTCAACTTGGCAGATCTTTGGTGTATCATATTAATTTTCCCTCGGGTGCAAAAGTGCCGACATTATCCGCGATATGGTTCAACAATCGGCAATATTGTATCGGCCCCGGAGGTGAGTACCGTATTTGATTAAAATGCAGTACAAATATTACATACCTATAATCGAGGAAAAAGAAGCGATTAATACAGTCGTTAATTCTTTCGGGTTAAATGAAGTTAATTCTTACTCGCATCTGCCTACATGGAAGTTTTAACCTACCTACTATCGTAGGAGATAAATAGTGAAACTGTCATTAAAATGATCACATATTTCGTTTTTATTGTGCATATCACTTTCCATCTTTAGGTACAAAGAATTTTACCATTATTTATTTTGGTTGGAAATTATTTATATTCTCAAAAGAAAAGAAAACTCTTTTCGTATTCTGAGTTAATGTGCGATGTAAGAGATATATTTCGTTGCATCACAGCGTCAAGTGGAAACATCGTAGCCAATATCGAATTGGGGCATATTGTGTACCTTCCGAACGAAGAACCACTGTCTCAGGATTTTCAGCCGTGGCATCGAAATTCGAGTAACTACCGCATAGACAATCCGTACTACAATAGCAACGCCGAATGCGGTGTTACCAGTTACTACACCGAGAGCACAAATAGACTGATTCCCGATGGTGAGACCTCATTACCAGGCCAGTGGCCCTGGGTAGTTGCAATCTACCTTATTGATAGAGATGGGCTTCAGAGATCATACTTGTTTCGATGTGGTGGGTCACTTTTAACGAACAGACATGTATTAACAGGTGTGTTAATCGAGAAAAGTCCATCTTATTCTAGTAATATGAAAAACTATTGTTCAAAACATTTTTTGATTTGCCTAATATTTTTTTAGACATTCAAGAGAAAATTTATAACTTTCTCAAGGTTTAGCTTATAATATCTCGGTAACTGTTTGTTGGAGGGAAATGTAGTACAGAATTTTTTTACTTGATTGGGTCTCAGAAATATGCTGTTGCAATAGTGCTCCAATTATTGAAAGTTTTTTGTGTATGTAAATTTTATGTATGTTACAATGAACAAAAATTTTCATAATTAAATTTAATTGGTTGCCGTTGGTGCGTTATCTGTAACACTATATGATTGCGATATATGTTATACTTTCTTAATGTATGCGCTTGTATTTAAATTACGTTAATAATTAATTGCGCTGACGATGGCACAGTATTTCCGAAACTTTTGTATATCACATATTTACGATGTCTTTTTTACAGCGGGGTACTGTATGAAACGGGACTTATTGGGCAGTAACGTAACAGTACCCGTCGATATATTGGAAGTGGTTCTGGGGCGATATAACTTGGACCCATTGCGCGGAGATGGATCTGCCAATCGGAAAGTCGCGAGCTACGTGATTCACCCCGATTACGTGCACTATCTCAAAGCTACTTCCGATCTCTCGGTTGTGACCCTCACGAACGTCGTCGAGTTCAATCCTCTCATCAGGCCTATTTGCCTATGGTCCGGCTCAAGTACACTTGGAGACGTCATTAGTAGGACAGGATACGTTGTAGGATGGGGTGAAGATGCGTTGAATCGTGATGTCAACGATCAACGGATGGTGAGAGCGACGATCGTGAGTCAAGTAAGTCGTTACTTGCTATTATCAAATTACAATAATTACATATATCGGTGACAACTGTATTTGTCAAATTGTTTACAAGCCTCGAGTTGAAGTTTGTTTCACAAATTGCAGGAGACCTGTCTCTGGGCGGATGCTAAATATATTCGTGTAATCTCGCATGACACCTTTTGCGCTGGTTCGCAAGACGGACTGGGTCCTTGTCACGGTGACGGTGGGAGCGGGCTGATACTTGTAAACAATATTACAAACAGTTATGAGTTGCGTGGTGTTGTTTCGCGATCTCTAATCAATGAAACTTCGTTCTGCGGTATACAGAAATACATCGTTTATGTTGATGTGGCCAAATACATACCCTGGATTCAACAACAGATTTCGATATAACGTTCGCCTTGCGTTGCAAAATGCTCTACATGTCAATCTATAAGTTTCTTTGTGTAAAGTTCAATGAAAACGCAGTACTTATGTACAGTTACGCGTGAGGATTAAACAGGTATGAATTCTGTTTTTGGTTATTGATGCCTCTTGTAATGTGTCTCCAATCTGTGTACAAAACGATATGAATAAGCTGTTACACATATAACTAACTGTCATATTAGACTTCTTTATAATGAAGAATATTAATCGTAATACATTTTACAATATGTTTATCGATACTAGAGTTCCCTAGTACACTTGTACTAGACTACTTGTGTAAACTGTGTATTTAACTTATCGGTGTTTTGACCCGTGTACATTTATTTAAAGAATCTTC